CAAAATACAAGGATCAAGCTTATATAATATGCTAAACAAAAAATCAAATCACTCATAGATTACTAATTAGGGAAGTCCTGGCTAATGTTCTTTTGTTAGTGCCTTTTGGGGCTTAGCTTTTTATCAGCTTATGACAGTCATTTACAGTTTATGAAATACAAGTTTCCTTGCATTTCATCACATAAATGCTTATTTTCCCTGTTTTGATAATTTGCTATAATACAGCATGGTTGAGGTTAGGATGACCCACTGCAGACTTTACACATCGGCTGTTCAGATAGTGGGAAAGCCCTGTTTATATTAATCGCTACTAAGATTCAGGATTGTTCTGTGTGAGCCCAAACAGTTGAATGCATAGCCATAACAATTCTTTTCTATCAGTTATCAGATTCACAGTCAATGACAGATATGCTTTAACCTCTGAAAGTTTTCCCTGATCTGGTGCCATTAAGATGTCCTACAGCAGGGGTGTCAAACTTGATTTCATTAAGGGCTGCATCAGGGTTGTGTTTGGCCTCGGGGTGGGGGGGCAGAGGGGGGGCATGCCCAGCTTGATGTCACTTGTGTCAGGGGCCCCTTTGGTGGTCCAAGCGCTCTGCCAGCTAAAATGGGCTCCCGAGCTCCGTTTGTGGCTGCGATGCAGAGGTGAAATGCTCCCGGTTCAGAGCGGATCAAGCGATCCGGTAGTGATTATGGCAGGTGGTTCGGTAGCGATGGCTGCGCGAGGCTCCGCCCACCCGCCCGGGTATCGTTACTTCCTGGTTTTAACCAGTAAGTAATGTGTTTACCCTCTGTGCATGCGCAGGTTTTGCGCATGCGCAGAAAGTCTCTGCATGCATGTGATGCGCGCGCGTGCGAGCTGCTGCTATATTTCTTGTTCTGGTTTTGATTTTTGCGCATCTTCTAATGGTTTAATGACTAATATATTTTACAAATAGGCTTCACCTGTCTCTGTTCAATGCACTAGGTTTTCCTTGATTGTTATAATCCTTTCCAATTTTAGTTAAAGATATTCAGACTCTGGACAGTTGTAGAGCCATCCCTAACTACTCTAGGAATGTCCATGGGGTATGGTTAAAAAAAAAGGCAGGACGACAGTGTGATTGGACCTCTACCTCTTTTATGTGCATCACAAGTCTCTCTTGCTCCTATTATGTATACATAAGTGTATATTAGCATTTTTTAATGATGCATTTATGGCTCTTTAGTTGACTACTTAAGTTGGTTATGTTATACAATCTAGCAAAGAGAAGGACTAGGGGTTAAATGTTAGCAGTCTTCCAATATTTGAAGGGCTGTCAGAAAGAAAAGGGAGTCAACCTATTCACCAAAGCACTTGAGTGCAGGATAAGTAAACGGATGGAAACTAATCAAGGAGAGATCCAGTCTAGAACTGAGGAGAAATTTCTTGTAAATGAGGACCATTAATCAGTGGAATGGCTTTTTCAATCAGAATAGAAATGGAAGGGTCCTTGGAGGTCTACTAGTTCAACCCCCTGCTCAAGCTGGAGACCCTATACCATTTCAGACAAGTGACTGCCAGTCTCTTCTTAAAAACCTCCAGCGATGAAGCACCCACAACTTCTGATGGCAAGCTGTTCCACTGGTTAATTGACCTCAGTTAGGAAATTTCTCCTTAATTCCAGGTTGCTTCTCTCCTTGATTAGTTTCCATCTATTGCTTCTTGCATCCTCTGATGCTTTGGAAAATAAGTTGACCCACTCCTCTTGGTGGCAACCTCACAAATACTGGAATACTGTTATCATGTTCCCCCTAGTTCTTCTTTTCTCTAGACCAGCCAAACCCAAATCCTGCAACCGTTCTTCATATGTTTTAGTCTCCACGTCTTTAATCATCTCAGTTGCACTTTTTACAAAGTCTCAACATCTTTTTTGTAATGTGGTGACCAAAACTGGATGCAGTATTCCAGGTGTGGCCTTCCTAAGGCTTTATAATGCGGTACTAATACTTTGTGTGATTTTGATTCTGTGCCTCTGTTTATACAACCAAGGATTGTATTAGCTTTTTTGGCTGTTGCCACACACTGCTGGCTCATATTTAAGTGATTGTCGACTAGGACTCCAAGGACCCTCTCACAGGTACTGTTTTTGAACCAGGTTTTGCCTAATCTGTACTTGTATCTTTGGGTTTTTCTCCAGAAGTTGTGAGTGTTCCATCACTGCAGCTTTTTAAGAAGAGACATGACACCATTTGTCTGGAATGGTATATGGTCTCCTGCCTGAGCAGGGAGTTGGACTAGAAGACCTCCAAGGTCCCTTCCAATTCTGTTATTCTGAATTCTGATTCTCATTTATCTGCATATTGATCAAATATATTTCCTCTACTGATGTTGAACTTTTTCTTATCCTTCTCTCCTCATAATTAAGAATGAAAACATGATTTTAGAGGCATTTTCTGAAGATGACTAGGAGAATAACCCAGTATTTTCCATTTATGCAATAAACAGAGAAGCTAGGACAAATTGCTGGAACTCCAACCCCCCATAGTAAGAGGTTGATAATAATGAATATGGATACATGTACATAGACACATGGAAACAGGAAAAAAAGGATAAAGATATATTAAGAGACTAGCTGGACGCCCGTCCTTTGCTACGAAACTATGTGATCGGGGAAGATAAATTGACACTTAAAACCTGAAACTTAATGTAGAATGTGTAACTCCGTAGCGTCAGAGCGTGTTAATATAAGGCAACTAGCAGTTGGAACAGAGTTCCTTTCAGGTGGGGAGGGAGAGTAGAACGTCTGATTCCTTAGCATCAGAGCATATGAATATAATACTGTATATGAAATAATAATGATCTGATGGTGATTTCGAAAAATCCTTTCTTAGCGAGCACCTAGAAGCCAAGAAGAACAAATTGTGCCAAATTTCAAGTTTGTAGGCTTTACCGTTCTGGAGATTTCGTGATGAGTGAATGCTATTTGGCTTTTATATATATAGATTCTGAAACACTTGCCTGATGCTTTGCTTAAATATGTAAGTAAACAAGGAGCTCATTTTATTTTTTCCAGAATTATACTTGCATGTGTTGCTGTTTCTGCAAAAAGTGATACTTTAATGGGAGGAGATCTTAAGAAGAACTAGTTTGGTGTGGTGGTTAAGGTGTTGGGCTATGGAAACCAGGAGAATGCGATTTCTAGGTCTCCCTTAGTCATGAAAGCTGGCAAAGCTAATTTTGAGCTAATATCATTATCATTATCATTATCATTGTTGTTGTGGGGAAAATTAGAAGGCAGGTGTTTGCACACACAGAGAGAGGTGTGTATGTGATAAAAATCTGTTAATAATATTCCCACTAACCTCCCAATTGTGGCATTGTAAAAACACTACCACTGCCTATCGTCCGTGACACTCTTCGATCACCCGGTGATTACATCTGTCCCCAACAGTTAATGGTAATATTACATGGAGTGACGATCTGATTATTCTGGATGATCAGGCATTTGTTAGATAGGATATTAGCCATTTTAAAAGATGCACAAAAGCTGGATTGGCTATTATTCTCTTGGCAATGCTATGGGGCAGATGCAGAAACTACCCAGAACACTTACAGGCTCCAGATAGGAAAAGGAACCGTGGACAAAGGAACCGTGGCAGCAGTTTTGTGAGAAATGAAACACCTGTCTCTTCGATGATACTGTAGGTCGGATTGATTTTGAAATCAATAAACCAAGAAGTAGAAAATAGAAATAGAAAACATGGTAAACAAAAATTAGAAGATGATAGTTATGCCAAAATAGCAATAGAGATGGTAAAAGAAAATTCCCTTTGGAAAATTGGAAGACATTTTATGGGGGAGGGATTGGCTTTGCCTAATTTTACATTTTTCTTTTTTGCCATTTGTTGTGTGGTGGAGGAACCCCAAAAGTCAGACTTTGGGGCAAATCCTTTATGCAGTGTTTTCTGTTTAGAAAAGAGTTTAGCTATGCAGAAACAAATTTATTACAATTGTGGTATTTCCAAGCCTGCCACTCATGAACTATAAACTAAGATTGGGATTACACATTACATGTAGTTTGCTTAATTTAGTATGAACCAGTCATGCAATATGTGAGTTCAATCTAATCCTATATTTTAAGCAGCTCCCCATACTTCCAAAGCAGCTTGAGATGGAGATTATTTGATAGACTCTACTCCAAATTTCATCTACAAAAATTTCAGATAGGGACAGGTATAATAAGCAGAAAAAAATCAGCAGATGTATTTGAATATTATGAAAAGTCAAAATATGGTTTCCTCTTTGGTTAGCATAACGTATGAACCCAATTATTGTGGTTTGTGAGCCATGGTTCATGGCTTAACATATTGGGTAAACTGAACCAATTATGCCAACAAATTGTGTTTAACCACAAAATGGAGTCATATAATGTATAAACATACTATTATGACCTCTTTTACCTACACATAGCCCTATAAGGTATTTCAGCAAGTTTGATTATGTTTAAGAAATATTCATAGCCATAGTATAAAAATAACAAAAAATACATATTATCACCCCACTGTTGAAGAGAAGTACTCATATCACATAGTTTATGTTGTGCTGTTGAGAAGTGTACTTTATCATTCCTCCCTCTCCTCCGTGTTTTTGGGGATCTTATATAATATCATTTCCTCCAAATTATCAGAACAGCTTTTTATATGTTGCCCTATCTTATTTACAACCTGACCAAACAAATTAACAAGCTTTCTCACTGAGAGACTTTCTCTGCCCCCAGCAAGTCCTCTTTTTTCCAAATACTGTTTATATGTTCCCAGTTCCCAGTGTATTAAGAGTCAGGGAGAACTTAATGGGTTTTCAGTCACATGCTAAAGGTGGGAAATTACATCAAAATTACAGCCTCTAGGCTCACTGTAACAGGACACTGTCACATTTCATTTTACTGCTGTTAGTTCCAGTAAAGAAATGGCTGTAGATTGAGATAAAAAAAGGAAGGGAAACAACCTAAAGGCAGGAAAGAATAAACATCCCAAACTCATTCTGACAGCAAAACAGAATTTTATTGAAAAGATAAAATTGCTTCCCATCCTCCTTGTATAATAGAATAAAGTTCATTGTATTCACAGTGACAGTTCTAGCAAAGTCTGAGCCAAATTCAGAACTAAAGCATCCTCTTTAGGTAAGAATTCGGGATTCCTTGATCAAGCTGCTGCATTCAGGAAATCCAAGAACTGTGTCTCTTTTAAAGTTATGCATCCAGTAACTCTTCTACCACAAACATTGCATATTTACCAAAAAATAAAGTCATAAGAAGATACAAATCTCAAGGAACTAAAACAACCTTGGAATTTTGATGATGCTGGAATGGCTACAAGCATCTTCCTTTTTAATTACTGTTGGCTGGTTAGAGTCAAAACACCCTGTTAGGACATAACAACAGCTTTGAGGTTTTTTCTTCTCTGAACTAGCTCTTATTCAACAAATTTATGGTTGCAGAAAATTGTTTGAACTTCAGAATAAGGGATTTTTTCATTTTGAACACCAACATGAAAAAGCAAGTACTTTCCCATAAAAGAAGCAGAATTTCCAAAACCTGCTCAGCCAGAGCCAATTAAAATGGTATCATTAAAAAAAGTCTTACATGTTCAAGGAACTCACAGGCTCTGGGGAAAACACCTCTAGAGCTCTGCTCATCTACATTATCCTAGATAAGGTCTGTGCCTAATTCAACATAGCTAATCATATTTTGATTTGAGTACAATCTACATACTATCACAGTGAGAGATATTTTGATTTAAAGCAGATGATTTGCTACAGTACCTGAATCTGGCATGAGCTGTAAACCAATTTTATGCCCTTTGTATGAAGAAAAACAGCATATGAAAGTAAACTAGCATTTCACCCACAAATAATGTGTACTTCACATTATTTCCCTCCCTTTTTCCTCTTCTGGAACAAGTAATTCCATGAACCAGAGATAAAAAGGGAAGTGACCCAAGGAAAGGGCACAATAAGAATATTCAGCTGATGATCTAACAATTCATTGTAGCACCCTAAAGGAATCACCCAACTCCTGCAAATGTCTTTTTGTACTAGCAGGCTAAGAGACAACCAAAGACTTTTAACTACTCTTCCTCTGCTCCTTTAATATAAGTAATATTAGCAAAAGAAGCTTGGACAGAGCGTAGACTTACTTATACCAGCCTTTTTGTGATTCAAAATTCAGGAAATAGAATCAGCATAAAGGAAATTCCTGGCTTGTGTGAATATATAGTATCTAAGGTATGCATGTGTGTACACATGTGTGTGATATCAATAAAATCTCTCCCCCCACCCCAACAATGTACATAGGCAGCATTGCTAGCCTTTTAAACTTTTCTCCATTTAAAATATTCCCAACCTGGTTTTTTTTAATTTATTGTCAATTACATTTGTCACCACCTAGAAAGGCTCACTAATTGTGTGCATAAATACTGGGTATTAAAAGCAGAGTATTTGCTAATAGCTGCCATTTTTCCAAATATATCCAGAGCAGACTGAAGTTGCTACTTGCAGGACTTCAATAATACTTCCTGAGGGCAGTATCCTTAAAGAGGGGCAGCTTCCCCACAATTTCATTAGCTGAAAGATAATTCCTGATTCTTAAATAATGAATAATAAAGATGCCTTTGAAGGCAGCACAGCAAAAATCCTTGGCCCAAAGAAAGGGTATTGAAGGCAGTCCCTGATGTTTCATGGTTTCAAACCGTTCAACATAGATGCAGCAGGAAAAGTACGCTTGATGCTGGCAACAACAATGTTGCAATCCTGAAATGGAGCTCCAGCTATCTTTTCTTCCAGGACTTCTCCTTTGGTGTGGGAGGACAATAGAAAAGCCAGTTACCTCTGGTCTATCTTCTGCTTCTGCAAGCTGAGTGAGGTGAAACTGGCTAAGAGGTCAGTAACTTCATCCACCTGCCGGGGAAGCACATGAGATGATGATACAGGACCTGAAGAAGAATCCTACAAAGATGGGCAGCTTGCAGCCTAACCCCTTTTTGAAGCAGCTGAAGTCCCTCAACCCAATTGTTCTGCTGAAATCCAGCGGCAGCAAACCATCCTATAACGGCAATAGCAAATGGACTAAAATTGGATTATTTATTCCCATGAAGGGATTTAACAGACCTGTAACTCACTTCCAAAAATGAAAAACGGGTTAAAAAGTCATCTCCACCAGGGATGAAACAATATAGCCACAAAATACAATTAAATTATCCTTAAAATCAGACACTCTCCTACAATGCCAATTATTCTGAATTTATTTATCCTAAATTCAAATGATATATGTATTTTGCCATTAACTAAAATATTTCACAGTGAGATGAAACATAGTTTTTGGATCTACCAGTTTCTCAAGTTGCAGAACTGCTCGGCTGGTACAAAATTTTCTTTAATCCCTCACCTGTTCTTTTGTGCTAGTCATCTGTAGCCTGGTACAAAGGTCATCCAATTGTTCCCTCTGTTCATGACGTCCAAGACGGTCAAGATATTCTCGCAACATCTGGATGATCTAAAACAAGCAGCATGGAAATATGTGGTTTGCAGCGAACAATGAAAAAAGCCCAAGTTTTTAATTAAAAACCCAATTCTGAAGCAAATCTGTAGTGTTACTATAAGCTTTTAGTAAAGTGGAAGGAAAAAGACAGCTGTACATTAACTACCTGGGAGAAAAAAGTAAGAACTAAACATAAATATAACTGTAACTGAATAAAACTGTAAATGAATAAAACTAATTTTTTACTGAGACTCAAGACACTTACATTTTTAAAAGCAACAGTATTATTTGTTTATTCAGTTTACAATGCCTCCCATTTCACATACCTGTATATGATTCTCAGCACTAATATAGTTAAAATACAAAAAGCAATACAAAAATTAACAAAAATCAAGCAACAAGAACCATTAAAACAAATGTAACTTACTAATCCTATCACTAGTAGGACCAATTATGAACTCAAGGCAATCCAACAGCCTTCAACTGGTAGGGGATTAAAAATGAGATTAACCAACAGTTTTATTAGAGACATTCAGAAGGCAAGGGTGGGATGGGCAAAAAAGTTATACACAGTGACCACAACTATGCAATCAAAGCTCCACCCATTTTTTTGCAGGTAAAGCATGCAAGCTGTATGTAAAAATCCATTGTTAGATCAGAATTCATCTCTATTTTATAGGCAAGGATGCTGACAACAGTAAGAAGAAAGCTACACTGCTATAGTAAACATTTCCAAATCATAACATGTCAGATCCACATGAACAGAAGGGCCAAACTTTGCAGTGACTGTTATAGAAATGCACTTAGTGCGCTTATATCAGAATGTAACATTTCAAATACATTGTCATAGATTTTGGCCAGCAGTAGATAGAAGGTTACAACAGAAATGAAGTATCATCTCTACTTACTCAAAGAGACTAAAAATTTTTTTGAATGAGTACCTCCACGGAGACCAGAATGGCTTCCTATCTCACAGACAATTGAAAGATAATGTGAGAACTATATTGAATATACTAGAATATTATGAGTGTAATTCTGATAAACAGGTGGCCCTGGTCTCCGTGGATGCACAAAAAGCTTTTGACAGAGTGAGCTGGAATTTTCTCTTTGCACAGTTGAGGGAAATGGAATTCGGGGAAAGATTTACCAGGGTGATCCGGACAGTATACACAAAACAGACAGCGAAAATACTTATTAATGGGGAAGAGTCTGAAAAGATTTATATAAGTAAAGGTACTAGACAGGGATGCCCATTATCTCCACTTTTATTTATCTTAACCCTAGAGTTATTATTGAATGAGGTCAGAAAGAACCAAGGAATTAGAGGGCTAAGAATCAGAGGGGAAGAGTTTAAGCTCCAAGCCTTTGCGGACGATTTGATATTTGTCTTGGAAGAACCTTTGGAATCGGGATCAATCTTGCTCCAGGAGTTGGAGGCTTACGGGAAAGTAGCAGGATTTAAATTAAATAAAGGTAAAACCAAGATTCTAATTAAGAATATGACGAAGAATCAAAAAGTGCAGTTAGAGGAAGAACTAGGGATTCAGATAGTTAAAAAACTGAAATACTTAGGCATTTGGCTTTCATCCAAATGCTCAACCATTAAAGAAGATAACTATCAGAAACTACTTGGTCAAACTAAAGAAATTTTGGAAGGATGGAAAGGATTAGTTATCATTATTAGGTAGAATTGCAGTAATTAAGATGTATATCCTGCCTAAATGGATTTTTCTTTTTCAGACAGCCCCAGTTTTATTAGATACATTTTTTTTTCAATCTCTAGATCAATGTTTACGTAGATTTGTGTGGCAGAACAAAAAACCAAGGATTAAATTGAAAATGCTTCAAGAATCCCCTTCCAGGGGAGGATTTGGCCTACCTAAATGGGAGCTTTATCATCAAGCAGCTGTCTTAAATTGGATCAGAGACTGGATTGCTTTGAGGAGGAGGAGAATCCTTAGTTTGGAAGGCCACAATTTGCAACAGGGGTGGCATTATTATCTGAGTCAGGAAAGGCCCAAAAAACATAAATACTTTATGGACCACTTTATCCAAAAGGTTTTGATGACTATCTGGGATCAAATAAGAAATAAATATTACCTGATGACTCCGATTTGGCTTTCCCCTTTAGAGGCGATGATACACCCGACTCTTTATAACAGAAATAAACCATTAATTTACCAAGTTCTATTGGATCCTTTAGGCAAAGTAAAATCTCGAAATACGCTGGTGGAATTAGGCTATGAGTTAGATTGGTGGACATTACAATCAGATCCAATCCAGGACAGCTCAGGACAAAAGCAAGGGAGGAATCTATAATTCCCTACAGGAACTTGATAAGATCTTGTTGGGGAAGGATGAGAAGGTATTATCCAAACTGTATCAATTCCTCTTAATGGATTGGATTGGAGAGGAGATTATCAAGGACTCAATGATTGCCTGGGGGAGAAATTTGGGATATTCGATTGAACTTGAAAAATGGGAAGAAATTTGGGGGAAAACCTTAAAATTAACAATGTCGGTTTCCTATAAGGAAAATATATACAAAATGCAGTATAGATGGCACCTGCCTCCGGCTAGATTATCGAAGATGTTCCTGGGAACCTCTTGGGTTTGTTGGAAATGCAACGTCGCTATGGGAACTTATTTTCATACTTGGTGGACCTGTCCCCGAGGAAAAGAATATTGGGCTAGAATTCAAAAATGGATTTTAGAAATCATAGGATGTAGGATAGAATTGAACCCGGAAACGTTTTTATTAGGCATGAAACCAGAGAACTTAAACAATCTAATTGATATCTCGCTCTCCACATCATCATTGCAGCCAGGATCTTGTTTGCGCAAGAATGGAAATCCAAAAATACGCCATCGGAGGCTACGTTAACCGCAAAGATCTTGGACTGTGCAGAAGCAGACAAGGTTACAGACTTTTGCGAGATAGACAAGAATCGGGGTTATATAGGAGCTGGGACAGGTGGTATGCTTGGCTGCAAAAAAAGAAATCTTAAGAAGAATGGAAATATTAACCTTAGTGTGAACGTGGGTAAATATTTATAGGAGCATTACATGGCAATTGAGAATCTCTTTTTTCTGGACAAACTTTTCTTTCTTCTGATGAGTTGGTTTAATGGAGCTTTGTACTATCTCTAGGCGAAAATTGATACTTTAAAACTCTATATGTATTATATTACTCTCTGCAATTCTATCCATATTGCTATGCTTTTTTTCTGTAAATTTTAATAATTTTCAATAAAAATTAAAAAAAATTAAAAAAAAGAAATGAAGTATCATTCTGGCAAAATGCAGATTCTAAAGATACTATAGCTATAGAGCTAGAAGGTAAATAAAATAAAAAGTAAGTGAGTGCAATATGTACTTTTAAAAACTGTGCATGTTTGGATTATGCATTTTTTGAGAGTAGATTGGCTTTCTTCAGAATGGTTACTTCATGATTTTACTAGCAATATACCTTGGGACCTTCAGAGACCAAAACATTTTGAAGCCTGTGGAAGAAAATACCCTACCTTGGCTATAGAAGGCCATATGTCAGCAACAAGTCACAGATAAAATAGAACAAGCCTTACTTTTCTATCTGCCACCCTCTATACTTTCTCTATTTTCCTTTTTCACAATTGCCAGGGAAGGACAGATTATACTTGTACTTCCAAGAGGATTTCCCAAGATACCTAATAATTACTCCTTGACCGAAAACTTTTCAAAGATTAGCTTCATATTTTTAGACTCATCAAGACCTCTGCCATATCTAACTAATCTGAATGGCCAATTACATCTTAGAATTTCAGTCCTCTAAGCCAAAAGCGTTTTTCCTTTCCTAGTCTACCGTGGGAATCAGGTTTACACACTTTTGCTTTTGTCTCAGAATCCACTGACACCAAACTCTGACATTCACATACATTCCTCAGTCCCAAATGTCTTCTACAGAGCCTAGAGACAACTGTTGAATATGAAACACCTGGCAGCTCCTCAAATCCAAAATAACCTTCCTGTACCTGCTTTACTTCAAGGCGCACAACCTCCAAGCTCTGTGAGAGGCCATCCTGCAGGATGTTTAACTTTGACCTGGCCAAGTGCAGAGGGGTCCTTCCAGCTCGATCCAGGGCATCCACTCGAGCTCCTGAAGTATGCAAATGCAGAGTAAGAAAAACATATTGAAAGAGCACCAGAAGAAAGGGCAATTTTAGAGTTGCCAAAAAAAAAAAGGTTACCTCCGCGGAGTAGCATGGTGATGACAGGAACATGGTTCGTGCAGGCAGCTGGGGAGGGGAAATATAAAACACAGAACTAAGAAGTGTTTTGGAGTAAAGCAGTGGGGATACATTATATCTGATCAGAATCATACAGTAAACCTCCCTTTGCAAATCTATATGGTATACTAAGAATGCAAACTGAGAAATCTGACCTCAGCTTCATGTCATGGGATTAAACAAGTCAATGCAGTCTCATCAAATCCTATCTGTGCTAGAAGAAATACTGCAGTAAAAGTTAAGATTATAGAACCTACAAAAACTAAACAGAATATCACCAGTTCTTTGGGGCGGATGTAGCTGTACTGGCTCTATAAGATTACTGAAATCCATTTTTTTAAAATACAAGATATCCAACTGCTTACATCCAGATGTAATTTCTTTTAACATAAAAAATGCTAAGATATACTTTATAGAAATTATCACAGTAAACATTAAGCTAGTCCTGAAAAATAAATATTACGCTTCTTGTATGGCAGATGTGAGCCCAGTTCCAAAGGCAAAAGTTTGCATATGTTCACTCTCTGCTGAATGGGCAATTTCCTGGGTTTACTCTAAATAATTTTTTCCACTCCATGTGTCCCAGGCTATTGCTGCCTGAACTTGAAGCAAATTTAGTTTCAGCAGATTTCTTTCAAGAAAAAAAAGAGAGAAGGCATTTCAGATAAATGATGCTTACCCAAATGCAAGGGAGTGTTCCCCAATCCATCTCGCTGGTTTGGATCAGCACCATGGTCTAAAAGCAACTGCACTAAAACACAAAGAAAGAGTCTCTCAAGTTCACTTTGAAAACCATACAGAAATATCCCAAATATTAGCCCAGGGTCATATAGTTTACAGAATTCATTCTTTTATAGCAACTCTTGGAGACGGATAGCAACTGGTCTTAACTGCATCTCATCAATATCAATCTCTTTTCATAAGTATTTTAATGGAACAGGTCTCTATAATAAGATGATGCTTTTATGTCCCTTGAAAAAGTCAAGCTTGCATATGAAGCACTACTGAATGGACCTCTGGGCCCCATTGTCTTAAGTTCACACTATCCAAAATTGCCAGCAAAATAAACTGCCACAGCACAATGTACGCCAATCTGCCACATTTGGGGGCTGTTCAAAAGTAATGGAATGTCCATAATGAAGGCCACTGGCTTCAAGATGATGGGCATGATCAGGGGATTAAAGTTCAACTCTCTTTTAACTTGCATTGCATGCAATGTATACCCATAAAAAGGGCCAAGGCTTTTCTTGCATAGTAGTACCTGCCATTTTGCAACACAAGCATCACTGCAGATGCACCCCTCCGCCCCCCAATATAGATAATTTGCCAGTGAGAATATTACCTCTCTCAGCTCCTTCTTAATCACACTGACTCTAAGAATAGGTCAATAAGGTTTAAGTACATCTTATTGAATAATATCACAGATTTATCCATCGGCCTCCAGGGGCACTTTGGAAAGAATGTAAAGTAATGGACCCTCACATCTCATACTGCCCATTTTTAAACCTAGAAGCCATCTTAGACTTTGCTCAACTCTTGTTAACCAAAAATGACCAAAGTAAGTTGATATTAGCTTAACTAAGTTTGTCCTCTATCCAATAACCAAGCCCCTTTCAACCTAGAAGGCGATAGAAAAGTTTTAATTAAGGATGCTGGTGTCATTCCTAATTTGCAGGAGCAACCTATGTTCTTGGGGTTTTTTCCTATTATTTTTTTAACCAAACTTTTCAAAGAACACACTGAAAACTTGTTTATAAAACCACAGCACCTCTCTGAATTATTCTGGATATCAGGCAATGTCGGCAATACTGCATTTTAGAAGAGAGTTTCTCAACCTGGGCAAGCTTAAAATGGATGGACTTCAACTCCCAGAATTCCCCAGTGAGCCACCCATCTTAAACTTGGGTTTTGCTGGCTGGGGAATTATGGGAGTTGAGGTCCACCCACTTTAAACTTGCCCACTGTTTTAGGAAGTATATTTCATAATGGTATCTCCACTTCTAACTTCATTCTATCTTGTAATAATCTATACGTGTGTCTCTCAACCTTAGCAAATTTATGAAGCATGGACTTTAATTCCCAGAATTCTTCATCCAACATAGGTGGCTGGGGAATTCTCTGAGTTGAAGTCTACACATCTAAACTTTCTTAAGACTAAGAAACACTGATCTAGGTCCATTACTTCTGCCCAGTTTCCTTCCACCTGCTAGGAACAGTGGGCTGCCTTGCTGAAATTTACAAATAATAATGCTTTTGAAAATAATCAATACCTCCCTGTGAAGTGGCATCTAAAGTGAGAGTCCCCCATTTTTAAAAAAATTGGCTTACCAATGCGATCATTTCCATTACAAGAAGCAAAGTGCAGGGCTGTTCGACCTTTGTCATCAGCAGCACAGGGGTCTGCCCCATCTTCTAGAAGTTGCACTACTGATGCCACCAAATAAGAAAGAAAAGGAAGCATTAATAACCTGAAGATTTAATTGGCTAAAAGTTACCATCAGCATCCTAGCTTAAAATCTAATAAATTGTTGCAAAACTTTCAAGTAACGATACTTAATGCTGAAAGTTTATTTTAGAAGAAACAAATAAGATACATGCACAAATTCATTCAGATCTTTTCAATATCCATACTTTCCAAGCAATTCAGCATCAGTAAGTAAAATTAGCATCAGCATAAGTAAGCATCCTTTCAAGCTCAAAGTGAAATAGCAGAATAAAGCATCCACAAAAAGAAATTGTACATAGTAATTATTTCAATCGATGTGAATTTATATTTCGTTTAATGAAAACATTTAATACAAATTTTAATCCATATCTGGACATTAGGTACCGTGTTTCCCCGAAAATAAGACCCTGTCTTATATTTTTGGAAACCTGAAATAAATGCTTGGCCTTATTGCCATGCGCTCAAAAGCCCGATTGGGCTTATTATCAGGGGATGTCTTATTTTGGGGGAAACAGGATAGTTAGGACATTGTCTCTCCCAGAACTACACTTTTATTTAAATTTTGCTTCCTTATTCAATTGAAAAAAAAGACATGATACCAACTGTTCCACTATCTCACTGCACTCTTCAGACAAATTTAAATCTAAACTTCTGATTTCAGCTAAAGTTTAGAGAGAGGAGGATATTTAATATAGGTGAAAAAGAGATAAAGATAGAAAAAATTCATATTCCTGCAATGTAACCTTCTAATAAATGCATCTTGTATTTCAGGAACTGCATGCCAAGAAATTAGATATGCAGGCAAGTGAGGAGAATGAAGCTAGAGGGTTAGCTAGCAGAGCACTGAAACCTAGCCCTCTGTATTTCTTCTAGCCAACATTTCCATAAACAAATATATTTGAGAGGATTATTTACAAGCCTCCACTTGTATATGCATCTTACAATAAGACAAAACTGGTTAGGAAAGACTTAACTGAAACTAGGAGATGAAAGAAGAGAATACCTGGGTTGAAGAAGTGTGTGTATGGGAAACTAACATTTGGTTAACAGACTCATTTTCAGGCCTTCAAGCTACTGATATTTTTTTTGTAAAAAATTACATTCCAATGGAATTCTTAGGAATCTAATACTGTATATTGAACATTCTCACCTCAAAGAATCTGTTCCTGTTTATGGCCTATCATTTTTTAAGACCCATATTTTGCTAACAGAACCTATGTAGGGGAAAATACATGGAGCTATAGATCAAATTCTGACTGATGCAATGTTACCTGTTTCCAAATCATTTGAATTAGCAGCTTCTCTCAATCTTTTTAAAGCTGTGGAAAAAGAGAGAGAATTATTTCCTTCTCAATTTAATTTTATAACAAACAGAACAACCACAACCACATCAGGTTTGGTTCAACAAATGTTTTTACTATGCACAATCCACACCTTTTCCTCAAGGGTGATCTTTTACTGGGGGAAGGCAGCAACACAGTGTTTTAAATCTAGGGAACTGTGATGTTACCTCTAGCTAATGGACTCATAATTATTCAGACATCATGGCTTTTTGTAGGAATTTTTTTAACTCTTAAAATTCATTTTAGATGTGCAAACAGCAGCAAAACAGACCTCCTTCCTTTGGAAAAAAGGGTTGGTAATCTTTTACAAGTAAGGCATCACAGGCTAGTTGGCCACAGGAGGCCTTTCAACAATGTTCCTGGATGGGCAGACCCCAATAATTTTGAATTATCCTTTCTCGTAATTTAAGGACTTTGGTATGATTTTGACTGAAAAGATCTTTCAAGAATTAATGATCTTTTTGTATCTGGAAACAGAGGAGCACCAATCTACAAAGTTTTCACAATTTGCTTTTCCTCCAAAATTTACTCTGAGAAGTGAGTAAACTTTGTCCACATTTCTGCTGCTATTTATCCATAATACATAAAACAGAACAGAGCAAAACAAACTTCTCAGGCTTCAATACATTATAAATGTTCCTGGCAGTAACTTGCAATTAATACTGCTATAACTGGATTGCTCTGATCACATTTACTCATCACAAATCTGTTAATCCTTAATTTATAAAATAACACAAGCTACTTCATTTTATTCACAATTTAAACCACATGCATTCTTTTAATACAAAATCAGGAATTCTGGTGATTTCAGGTCTAACGGTCAAAATTATTTTAAATGTTTCTCATTGAGCCATGCTTGTATTTCATTTTTTTCTTTTTTACTCACAATTTTAAGATAAACTACAACCCGGATGAGTGCCCTATATCAGTGGTGGGATTCAAGTAATTTAACAACCAGTTCTCTGCCCTAATGATTTCTTCCAACAACTAGTTTGCCAAACTGCTCAGAAGATTAACAACCGGTTCTCCCGAAGTGGTGCGAACTAGCTGAATCCCACCACTGCCCTATACGCATGAATAATTCCTTTATACAACCCAGTACTATTTATCTATAATATTTGTAGGCAATCCAATCAAATATGCTCTGGGTGGCACAGAACAATAAAAAAACAACATGGTTCATAAGACCTCATTAAAACAAATCATGCCTTCCATAATAGTACAATTAATTTTTGCAAGAGTTTTGGCTTGTTGAAATAAGCCAAGCATCCTGCCAGGAGCAGCCTGTTCCAAAACATAGGAGCTATTATGAAAACTCCTGTCCTTCCTTCTGGCAAACAGGGCAGGTTGTTGGACAATTATTATGAACGCCAACTGGAATAGATCAGGTTGTAGAAGGCTGCCTTGGATTATCAAGGGAACAATTATGTGTCCACACCTAAGCGTGTTTGCTTGAATGTTTAGTCCCTTATCCGTAGCTATAGGTAGTCCTCAACTTACGACCACAACTGAGCCCAAAATTTATGTTGTTAACTGGGACATTTAAGTGAGCTTTGCCCCATTTTATGACCTTTCTTGCCACAGTTGTTAAGTGAATCACTGCAGTTGTTCAGTTAGTAACACAGTTAATTGAATCTGGTTTCCTCACTGACTGAGCTTGTCAGAAGGTTGCAAAAGCTGATCACATGACCCCAGGACACTGAAACTGTCATAAGTATGAACCACTTGCCTGAATTTTGATCATATGACCATGGGGATGCTGGAACGGTCGTAAGTGTGAAAAAGGGTCATAAGCCACTTTATAAAGTGCCCGTGTAACTTTGGACAGTCACTAAACGAATTGTTGTAAGTCGAGGACTACCTACATTTGACAGCAAACTCCCGCTGCCTTTGCCTTCCCAATACAGTAAAGCATGGAAGAGCTCCAAATTCCTTTCAAAGCCCCAGACTGAAGCTCCCCAATACCCTCTCCCACTGCCGCTCCTAGACAGTTTAGCCTCAGAGCTGAGGGTCCGGTAGGGAAGAGGACGGACGGCCTTTTGGTCGCCCGGTAAAAACAGACCGCCCCCCCCACCCCCCACTCTCTCCCGCCTGGCCCCTCACCGTGAATCTCCTTGCCCAGAGGGCCCCCCTTGCGGTGTAGCCGGGCGTCTCTGCGGCGACGGCTGATGATCTTGCACACGCGGTGCTCCCTCTGCCACGGCAGCTGCAAGTAGCCCAAAGCAGCCGGATCCGGGGTCTCCGGGATGGTCCGCAAGGCGACGCCAAGACCCGCCAGGGAAAACAAATTGGGGCTTTCGGCCGGGCTGGCTTCGCCGGGGCTACCGCCTTCCATCCCTCCCGCCCGCCCCCCCCCTCCTCCTCCTCCCCGCCCGCTCGCTCGCTTCTCCTCCAAGCCTTCGCTTCAAGTGTGGGCCCAGAAAGCCCAAGCTCTCTGACGGGAGGCGGGGAAATTCGCGTAACCATAGAAACGAAAGGAAGGGAACAAGGCAAGTAGCAGCCAATAGGAGCGGTCGGACGCCGTAAGCGACGGGCTAAGAATGACAGGAAGGGAGCTTGCGTACTCCCCCCACCCACGGCCAAAAAGGTTTCCGTCATCCTTTCCTTAAAGGTGAGAATTCGGTCTACGGCCAAGTAGAACACTGTAGTAGATGCTTTTGTGCGCAAGCCCGGAAAGGTGGAGGGCCTTCTGCTCACAGTCGGCGATGATTATTGGCTGGAGATGATGTCCAATCCAACACATCCTTTGGTATAAGCATTATACACTAGAACAGAGATCTTCAAACTTGGCAGCTTTAAGACATGTGAACTTCAACTCCTAGAATTCTCCAGCCAGCTATGTTATGCTGGAGAATTCTGGGAGTTGAAGTCCACAAGTCTTAAAGCTGCCAAGTTTGAGGATGTCTGCACTAGAATAAAACACTCATATGTGCATCTTGACATAGGCAAAACAGCACATCTTACACATAAGAGGTAAAAGGGAGAAGGGTAGTTGGACATCCCAAGTAGCAGAAAAGGATAGTGCTACTCCTTCGGCGGAAGGAAGTGAAACCACAATCTGCAAATGGGGAGGCTTTAACTACTGTACCATCCTGAACAGAAATGCAGAATGCATACCAACATTTCATTAGAAACCTCATTTATACGCAGGATAATATAGTACTTGTGCAACTCTGGGAAATATAATAAAGTTATTCAAGGGAGCAAAAATAGAAAGCATTTCAGAGGGGAAGATACTGTAATTACTTGACCCCAAAAATGAAACAACCGCAAAGCACACTGCCATAGCTACAAATTACACAAACCTATTCACCAAATTTTAAATCTCAGTGTTGAGAGAAGATATTATTGCCAGGCATTAGATTGTAATGTCTACATCTTGTTCAAATTAAAATAAAGGGTCTATATAGGTTCAAGGACAATTTGTTATTCTATAGTATTAAGTATTGACAAGTAAACCCCACAGGGCAGAAACTCAGTAGGTTTAACTTTTGGTGTCATGTCTTCTGTTAATTTTTTTCCCTCTTTAGACCTAGGTTTTTTTCCTATTGAAAGTGTACAGGAACATTATCAGGAAACAAGTATTCTGTAATTCTTTTGCTCCTCTTTGGGGGCAAAGAATATGCTTTTATAAAAATAGTGGTACTGAAATGTCTCAGCTGTGGCTAAACTTCGTTTATACTTTCTTATATATTTTCACCATTCCTCCTTACTAATTAGGAATTCATTTGAGTTGCAATTGTGAACCAGAAATTTGTTTTATTATCTAATGCATGCTTTATGAAAAGAAAATTGACTTTTCAGGTTAGGAGGCAATATTCTTGTGTAGTGGTTATTAATGAGGCATTCAAACCTGTTGCTCTATTCATTTGTCAAATCCCATCAATTCTGGCCAGTAAAAACCAATGGAAATTTGTGACATTTTCACCCTGCTTGCGATCTTGCAACTAGATGATCTATGTTGAAGATCAGGTATCGCTTTAGGGGTCTTTTGATTTGATCTAACAAAGATCTGTTATTCAATAATTTATAACCCGCATTTCTTTCATAACAGAATTAACAGTAGTATACCAAATACACTACATTTTCTAATCATGGTTGCCGGCAGGCCTATAACATACACAGACTAAATGTACCACGTTTACTTATTCGTATTAGCAGCAGATTAACTCGGTCCCGTTTATCCCTACAGTATTTTAAGTTGTCCGCCAAACGGACTATTTATAACGGCGGCTTCCGGTTTACGAGGGAAGTGCCACAAATTCGGTGGCCGGAAGACTTTCTTTGCTGCAACGTTCTCAGCCAGGTTCGGCAAGTCGGCGGTGTGCGCGTTTTTTTCGTCCTCTTAAACCCGCCATGTCGTATCCGGTGGACGATTACGAAGAGGTACAAGCGCTGCGTATCTATTGACTGAGATCTTGATTGGCGTGTGGGATTTGGGACCTTCTTGGATGATTTTGCTTGGCGTTTTCGGATAAAAGGGATGGGCGGGTGCCTCCCTGTAGTGGAAGGAAGAGGGGTTGCTAGGCTGAGTTGGCACTAAAAGCAAAGCCTAGACATGGGGGTGGGGGGGGGGGTGTCTGCTTTCCAAACCCGTGGATGTTCACATATGAGGTGGGGGGGAGCAACGATTAAGCATGTTGCACCATGTTATCTGTACCAGATTCAAGCCTTTCCTTCCCACCCTTTCTTTTCTCGCAGGGCTCTTACGACCCATATGCTTATACAGGGGATTATGATTTACACACAGGTGAGTCCGTAAACTTTCCTGTTGATGGACCTTGCTACTTCGAGTTTATGTTAGGAGGCAAAGAGTACTTACTATCCTAGATGTGGGTTGTGCTACAGACACGGTGGCAGTACCGTTCAGAAGTGCTTTTGAGTCCACCCACTTCTTTATTCATTTTCTACCCCCAAAAAATATGGATAACTATGTGCTTTATTAAACTTTTGATATTTGTCTCTTACCGAAAGAAAGGTCTTTGACCTATATTCGGTTTAGCAATTTAATTTTTCCTTGTTTGTTTCTTTGCCAATTGCTTTTAATTTGCAGTCATAGGCTAAAGTGTGAAAAAAATGGAGTGGAAACTAGATATTAAAAAATCTGGCTACAAAAAATAACTCCTAGGCATTCCCATTCTTGTACTTTCCATTCTTGTAGTCTATTGTAGGTGTTTTATTCAGATTGCCTTGCTTAAGAATAATGGGATTTTATTTAGAATATATTTTTAAAGTTGACTGAATTGGGAAGATCCAAATTCAAATGTCCACTCAGTTATGGAACTCATTTGGGTGATTATAGAGCAGTTACTCTCTCCCAAAACAAATAATTTCTTCGGGTAGTTTAAGAATATAATGAAAAAAAATCTTCCATATGTGTTCTGAAGCTGCCAGTTGAAAAGCAAATTTTAATTAAGAAAAAAATGTTGCTGAATTACTGACTTAGATACCAAGAATACTATGGCTTAAATTCACATTGTGACTCTGGGTAGCATCCATAATAGAACAAAATACTATTAAAAACACATCTTAAATTAGAATAAAGACAATATAAAAGCAAGGTTAAAAACCCCCAAGAAATAAGACAGAATGATGGCAAAGCATACAAAGAATACATCTAGTTAACTATCGCATTTAACAGAGTCTCCAAATTCATGAGATCCCCAAGCTCGTCGGCAAAAAACATTTTTGAGGGCCTTTCAGAATGCCCCCTTTTGTTCTATATGCTTTTTTTCCTCTGACCTCTGTTGTCTTGTTTAGTAATATTCATGTTCATAGTCCTATGATGGACTATGAGCCTCAGACAGACAGACAGATATCATGCAAATGCTGCTATTATATATTTTCATCATGATATATTGGTGCAAGTATGAAAGTAATGGTATTTGCATGGATGGCATTATCATCAGTATGTTATCATTCCTCTTCTCATTCCTCCTTCCTGGCATCTGCCCCTGTTCACATTTGAAGAATTTTATTAAAAATGAGGATTCTAAAACAGATGCCTGCATTTAAATGTTAGATTCAAAATGTTGCTATTCTTCCTGATATTATGTTTTGATATAGTTGTTATATCTTGTATTTCATAGGAGATCCAAAACAGGATTTAGCCTATGAAAGGCAATATGAACAGCAAACCTATCAGGTGATTCCAGAAGTGATAAAAAATTTTATCCAGTACTTTCATAAGACTGTTTCAGATCTGATTGACCAGAAAGTATATGAGCTTCAGGCCAGTCGTATATCTAGTGATGTCATTGATCAGAAGGTGTATGAGATCCAAGACATCTATGAAAACAGGTATGATTTCTTTTGCTTCAGAAAAGAGCAAGAATTATCAGTATGGCTAGTTGTTATTATGGTTCAATTACATTTAAAAATAAAGTATTAATAAGCTATATCATTGTGAATATATAATGGGAAATAATTAAAGATTATACAGGTATGAGAAAAATGGTAAGAAAGATGCTAAAGAACAAGATTTTTCAGTGACGTGCCATCTGCCCACATAATGGCATATGCCACTGAAAAATCTTGTTCTTTAGCATCTTATCACTTTTCTCATGGAAATCTTTACATATATAGAGTTGGTAAAAAATGAGAGGTGGTCATGTAAATTGTGGTAGTTTATTATATGGGTTTATTATAGTCAGTCATGCCATGATTTTTCTAAATACTGATGTGTATTGCAGTTGGACCAAACTAACAGAAAGGTTCTTTAAAAACACACCGTGGCCAGAAGCAGAAGCTATTGCACCACAGGTTGGAAACGGTAAGAATTTTAAATAGAAAATGTTATTCTGACTTTGGTCCTGTATTGGAGGAGTAATTTGGGGGGGGAGGGGGGGAGGGACCAGTACATATTGAAGAAGACAGATTAAGAATTGCATTGAACTCTCTTAATTCCAAATGATTCCTTTAATGTAATAGGATATGTCACATGCGATCTGATTTGATCCACATTTCCAACATTTATATGGGAAGCCTAAAAATGAGATTCAGCAGAAGAGTTTATTCTTTTTTATGGTAGCTTGTTTTTTGTACTGAAATTGTGAGACTCATGATAAATTTAAGAAGCGATATTAAAAAATATTTTCCTTGAACCTACTGTATTAAGAAGTTGATATTATAGTTTCAACAAATTAGAGGGTCTCTGTTGCCAGAAGAAATCTATCTTAACCATATTTCCTATTTGCATCACTTAGTATCCTTGAATAAATTTTTAACAATGCCACTCGATGCTTGAAGATTATGTAGTATAGTGCAATACTTTAATTTTTTAATATACAACATGACTAGTTTTTATCAAAATAAGAACAGACTGTTTTTATTATAGTTGCAGTCAATGGATCTTAATGGCAGTGAAGGATCACC